TTGAATACTTGAACGTCATTTTAAGGATAACCAAAAAATTAGGAACTAGCGTCTAAGACAAATGCAATTCTTACAATTTTGCGCCAATGGTAATATTTACAACTTGTGGTGCCCGTAAAAGTAATGGACACACAAATTTCAAAAAAAAAATAACAATAATAATAAAAATAACTAGAAAATGGGATGAGTGGCTCAGTGGTACAGTCTCTGCCTGTGGATCCAAGGGGTCCAGGTTCGAATCCCACCGTTGGCCGGGATTTTTTTATTTAATTTCATTATTTAAAATGATGCCTTGGTAGGATTCCCCACTCGACCATTCAGTGTTGGGTTCTAATTAACAGTGCTGTTCCTAAAGTGGCGCTGGCAAACAACAACAAAGCCTACACATAACACGACGCTAATGGCCTTAGTAGTGGAAAAATAACTAGAAAATGGCATTAAGTGTATACAGGGTGTCCCAAATTGTTTTACCCATGCTGTAACTTCTAAACCATGCAAGATAATTGAACCGGACAAAAGTCATCCATTATAGTTGGCGGTGTACTTTAAAACAAATAAAAATTTGATGACCCACCCTCAAAAACTACCTCCCTGGAACAACCCCCTCAAATATTATTAACGACACCCTAATTTTTTTCTGCTCATTTTTGTAGTCGCTACTTTTCTCCGTACAACTGTTTTTAAAATTTTGAAATCGCTCCATAAATAACTGAGATTCGTTTTTTTTTTTTTTTTTTTTTTTCATTTTCATCAAGTTGCTTGCTGTCAAATTCATGGTAAGTTTTTTAGCGCATTATAAACAATACTATATCAATCTGTCTCTTGTCAAACAGAAGTGCACTCGATAAAGTTAGTAGTTTTTACTTAATAAAGTTTGCAATAATTTAGAGTTTGTCAAGTCCTAACAAATTATTTCAAAATGCCTAATCTGTTTAGTTCCAACGAGTACACCGATATGATAATTATTTACGGCGAATGTCGCAAGAATTCAAGACAAGCTAGACAATTACACTATGAACGTTTTCCGAATAGAACAATTCCCCCAGTTAGAACGTTTTCCAATTTAGAAAGAAGTCTTAGGCAAGGACATTTTCCTGACGGTAAACATCATGGAGGACACAACAGAATGATCAGAAATGAAGAAAATGTTATACACGTTTTGACTTACGTTCATATAAATCCACATGTTTCTATCAGACATTTGGCACATCGAAATTGGAATGAGCAAAAGTAGCATCCAAAGAATATTAAAAGACAATAAATATCATCCCTATAAAATACACTTGGTCCAAGGTTTACTCCCTAATGATCTTGAAATACGCCTAGACTTTCTCGCTAGAATGCAGGTGAAACTAAATGACGATGCCACATTCTTAGATAAAATATTATGGAGCGACGAATCACGTTTCCATAATAATGGTGTATTAAATCGTCATAATTCCAATTACTGGTCCCAAACAAAAACCCACTGGGTAAGAGAAACAAGGTTTCAAAAGAATTGGGGCATAAACGTATGGTGTGGTTTGTTCAATGGTAGGATTATAGGTCCTCATTTTTATGAAAACACTCTAACGGGAATAGGATATCGTGATTTTTTAATCAATACCGTTCTTGAGTTGTTGGAAGGTGTTCCTCTTAATCAAAGACGTGATATGTGGTGGCAGCAAGATGGTGCACCAGCTCATAATGCACAAATTGTGAGCCAATATTTGGCAAACACTTATGGAAACCGTGTTATATCCACGCATTCTCCAATTATCCAGTGGCCGGCTAGGTCACCTGATTTGTCGCCTCTAGATTTTTTTATGTGGTACTATAAAGGACGTAGTATACGAAACAAAACCAGAGGACTTAGAAGATTTAAAAAATAGAATCAGACATGCTTGTAACAGATTTACACCGGCCATGATTCGAGCTGCCTGTACTAGAAATTTATTGTTATGGTTTGACAAATGTGTGGAAGTGGGAAGTGGGCAATTTGAGCACTTTTATAAGTTATTACTACTCTTTGTTTGTTGATATTTATTTTCTTGTCTTCTCCTTCTCTTGTTTCAATGTATTTTTTTATTTATGTGTCACCTAATAAAGTATTTTTTATCATCAACTTGACATAGAGTTTTATTTAATTTCTCACTTATTTATGGAGCGATTTTAAAATTTTAAAAACAGTTGTACAGAGAAAAGTAGCGACTACAAAAATAAGCAGAAAAAAAATGAGGGTGTCGTTAATAATTTATGAGGGGGTTGTTACAGGGGGGTAGTTTTTGAGGGTGGGTCGTCAAATTTTAATTTATTTTAAAGTACACCGCCAATTATAATGGATGACTTTTGTCCGGTTCGATTATCTTGCATGGTTTAGAAGTTATAGCCTGGGTAAAACAATTTGGGACACCCTGTATATGAAATAACAAAAAAAATACTAAAATACATACTTGTATAAATCTAAACCCGAGTTAACGTCTCCAACACCCCCTCAGTAAAATAGTGAACAATAATTGTAAAGTGATTATCGGCCCCCGAATAGTAAAAAGACCTCACTTAAATTCTCTTGCTTCCCGCCTTATTGCGAACACGCCGGAAAAGCTGTATCGAAATTTGTGAAGTGAAGTGAACTCGCGCTCCATTGTGTAGGCAGGGAGCTCAATCACAGGTGCCTGTAACAGGTAACTCTCTTCCTCTTGTCCCCCCTCTGATCGTGTAATCAATAATATATCATAATTATTAGAGATGGGACTTTTCATGAAAAGTAATTTTTGGACTAGTCCGACAGACATTTCCGGAAAAGTACCTAGTGAAAATTAATGAAAAGTCGCAATGAAAAATCACAATGAAATGTAGTCGACCTTGAGCATAGAAGACACGCAATTAAATCTCCATCCTGGATGTTTTTTCAAAAACACTTTGAGAACAAATACCTTTGTATTTTCGTTTTTTTAGGCAAATTATTTGTAAAATACTTTCAACCTTTGGATGTTTTGGTAATTTTTCGCGAGTTTATTTTAATAAGATTTAATTACAAAAGTCAGTAAACATTCGTCGTTTCTTCTTTTTTAAACTACATTTTGCCTTTATTTGTAAGAAATTCGGACAAATTAGTTAATTTAATTTTGCGCATGCGCAATACACTTTTCCACTTTCGAAAAGTGTGTTTGGACTAGTCAACTTTTCAGCCTAGTCCGTCGGACTTGTCCGTGGACTTTTTCAAGCGACCCATCACTAACAATAATTGTTATATTGTAACTAGTATAGAAGCTTCTTGTGTTGCCACTTGTCACTACTGACCCAGACGATGTTACCACTGGTTATTACAATAGATGATGTATTACTTATATACAATATCGTTATTTTTCCCCCACACACCAGCTCTTTCAGGATGCTCTCCACGTACAGCTATCAAGACAAATGTAAAAGATCTATCTGTCGCTAATTCAGCAAGGAAATATCTCAATACCTATAACGACCCTTCCAATCCTATCTTCTCAAGGAAGTTTAGGATTTGGAGTGGCTTCAAGTTAAGTAAATCTCCCTTTTCTATTTGATATGCTCCTAGGTATAGTGCTCCTGGATTCTGGAGTGCTGCACATTTAGTTAGAATGTGAATGGAGAGTTCGTCCTCCTCACAGAATCTGCACTCACTATTTTCTACTACTCTCGTTTTACTAAGGTGTCCTTTTAGTCGGCAATGCCCAGTAAGGATCGCTGTTACAATACGTAGCCTGTTCTTGCTCAGGCAGATGCAGGCTTTCGATCTTTTCTGGTTATATTCACCCAGAAGTATCTTAGTCTGTTTTAGTCCCAAGAGAATATTCCAATTATCGGTTCTATTATGTTCCTGCTGATACCGCAGAACGGCTGAAGTCCCACAAAGGGTGTTTCAGCCCCTTTCCTTGCGAGACTATCTGCACTCTCATTACCCTGTACCCCGTTATGTCCCGGGACCCAAGTGAGAGTAACTCTATTTTTCTCGCCTAGCTCATTCAATTTTTCTAGGCATCTCCAGACCATTTGTGAGCTGATTACGTAAGAGCTCAGCGCTTTGATGGCTGCTTGGCTAACGGACATGATGATGGCGTGAATTTCCGCCTGGAAGATGCTTGGGTATTTTCCCAAACTTTCGGAGTGCCTGGTCCTAGGCCCATATACTTCCTTCTATGGTTTTGGAACCATCCATATACCACTGAATAGCCATGTCTTTCGGTTGCAAGCGCGATTATTCTTGGCTCCATTTTTTCTTGCAGCTCAGCTACAATCTATATCGTGTCCTTTTTGCCACATTCTCTATCATTATATGTAGAGAGGTGATTAAGATCACCTCAATTGGGGCCGTAGGACACGTTCTCATTGCACCAGTGATGCAGATACAGGATAGTCTTTGTACTTTTGAGATATTAGCTCTCGTAGTAGCTAAACTAGTTCTGTTACTCCAAGCTATAGCCCCGTAAGTGATGATTGGTCTCACTATTGCAGTATACATCCATCTCAGTGTATTCGGGTTACATCCCCATCGTTTACCCGCAGTTTACTACTTCCTTTTCATGTGTGTTCCAGAGAAGTTTGTTGTCCAGAGGCTGATACATACGATCCAACAGTTAATCGAGAAAATAAACAATTTCTAGACTAAAGTGCCTTACTTAATTTCTACGGCTTCTTTACAAAGACGAGCAATTTTATAAAGAGAACAATTTATTATTGTAAAATAAGTAGTGTTTTTCAATAAAAATATAATAAAATATACAATTTTCATATTTTTGCCTTAGAGCAGATTTGATTTTTTTAGGAAGTTTTACAATGTATATTTAATTTAAAAAATATTTCTCAGCGCAAAGACAGAATAATGGCTGGAAAAAAAAGAAACTGGTCCATTTTTAAATTTTAGAATCGAATGCTAAAATTGCTGCCATTCGTTTTTTGACATCACTCTTAACACTTTTAACATGTACATGAATTTCAATAACAACCTGTATAATTTTTAATTATCTATAATATACATTTTTACAAACCTGTTTGCTGAATTCATTCCGTCTTTCATGATGCCAGTAAATTTTCGTTCTCCCGTTCTAGTGTAGTCTCCCTAAAAACAAATTATAATTCTCACGTATTCATATTTAATTTTTTTCTATTTGATGATGAGTTTTAAGAGAAATTTAATTTATTTTTAATTTTTGTATATTTTTATTTTTTGTTTTGCAAAATATTACCTTTAAGGCATTAGTTCCAGCATATTGCTTACTGATCGTATCTCCATTATTGGCCCACAACAACTGGAATGTATTCTTAATACTAGTGGGAATAACACCCTCTGGTGATATTAAACCTAACTTACAGAACTGTATTTCCATAACAGCTTTACCTATAGCGGTCTAAAAATAATGTTTAAATAGTCAATAGTTATCTCATTTTTAATTATTATGTCAGGAATAGCCAAAAGAAAATTACATTCTTTATGATCATTAAGCTTTCAAGTAAATCAATTTTATAAATCTATCGTTTGTGGGCAAAGGAGTATAAGTCAAAATTTTGGGTAAATTAGTTTCAGTCATCTATACTTAGTGTAAAACGTAGGATAAGTCAATACTTTCTATTAGGGTCGCTATTTAACTTGGACTTCATAATATAAATTACAAAAATACCTTTTTTTGGTGAAAAAATCAGTATAAGTACACTTATAAGACATTTGACATAGATTTACCCAGCTTCTAAATTTTTGACTTATACTCCGCACGAAAGAAATGTTTTCCAGATTTTTAAGTCAAAAAGTAATATAGCTACCTGAACGACATTGGTTCTATCCAAACAATCAATACAGTTCACCCTAAATACGCCGTTCTGCGAACATATGTGACCTTGACTATCTCTCCAACAGTAATTCATGTCTTTTAATATATCACTAATAGCACTGATCAGAATTGACACGTTCTCAAAATGCATTCCTCTACTAAAAAAGAAATAATGCTTAAAAAACTTACCTACTGAGTTATTCTTAAAACTAGATCTAATATAATTTAAAAGTATTAAAAAAATAGGTGTCCTATGTGTGATCCTTGAGGTATACAACAAAAAAGTTTATATCTTACAATAATTGGAAAATTGGATGAGCTTTGGATGATTAATAATAATATAGATACTTGAAATAACTGTGATATAAATTGGTAACTAGTTAATATACATACTTACCAATATTCGTGAAAATCAAATGTAACATATGTAACAAAGGGACTATTATAGAGAAACACATGGTTAGAATAAGAATCGAATATCACTCTTTCTTTCCCCGCCTGATCAATTAGATTTACGATACATATTGGGCCATAATTGTGAATTTCTTTGGTGAAATGTTTTTCAAAAGCAACTTGAGTTTCGCTCTCCCCTAAAAAATATAATTCAAAATCAATTAAGATATTTCACAAATTTGATGTCACATTTTAATTTATTTTTTAATTCATGGGTTATTCAAGTACTGTTTACCTTTGTCAATTCTGGGAGGAGGTCTATACTTGTAGCCCGGTTGGGACCAATAAACAGGAACTGAGCCCCTTACTTGAACAAAGGATACTTCATGGGATTGATAGGAAATTATTTGTTCAGTTTCTACATAATTTGCTACTTCACCATCATCATCCACGCCTCTTCTTTTATATCTACAAGTTTAAATAAGCGTTATTTTGTCTATTTTATTTGCTTATATCCTCATTGGCATACCTTGTTCCAGCACGATATCTACTTCTTCTTGATATGAGACAAAGTTTAAAAGTGTCATAATTTTTGTCGTTAACATCAACCAGGTCCCTATCCATATCCACTTTACATTCTTCAATTTGAATAAATCCTTGAATAATTGGTAATATCCAAGAATCACATAAAGGATTCTAAAAAAAAAATAACAAATCATGATTTTGACTCATTGAATTGTTTTAAAATACCTAATATTAGAAGTATTTACTAACATTTTAATAATGTTCTCACCTCTGTTTCTAGAATACCCTTCAACATGTTTCGGTTCCAAAAGAACCTGTCATCAACGCTTTTCCACATAGCTGTCGAATGGACACCTTGTCTCTCCAATTTGCACAATCGTTGTAAAGAATTCGTTAAATCGGTAGTATGTGAGTAGTAAAACGAATTCGTATCATTAAAAATTTTGTAAAATTCCTCGACTATCTGTCTTTCGAATCGGTCTTTGTCTTTTAAGTTGCTCTTCTTCTGAACACCCGCAAGAGCCGCTGCTTGTTGAGTTGTCTGTTTTAGAGTATTGCCGGCGCTCTTTAAAGTGCCCCAAGTTTTCGTAAAGGCGCTATTCTTTTGAAGATCGAATAATAGGCTAGTATTGGCGGGATTTTGTTTCAATTCCATTGTTTTGTGCTTACGACAAGCTGACAAATTTAAATCGACAGTTTCCGGTCCTAGTGGTAGAAAAACGACGGACTTTATTTTGTAAACCATATTATCACCATGGAGTTTGCCCACTGGAAGACTTTCTTTAATTAGGAGCAATCTGGGATCAAAAAGTGGACTATGTTCCACCTTTCCTATAATACCATCGCACATTCCGAGACATATTGGATCATCTGCATCTGTCAAATCCCATCCTAAACAAAAGTTTTATATGTATATGTAATTTATCAAAAAATAAAAGTATGTGGTTTCTACAATATTTTATTACTAACTAGCTGACCCGATCCCGCTTCGCTGGAATTTCTCAAATCTCAATTATTTAAAGTGAATAACAGTTTTTGTTACTCGCGAGAAATTTTTTCATGAGATACTTGAAAAAAAAATTATTAATTAAATTTTTATTCGTTTTTAATAGTTTTATTAATTTTTAATAATTTTTAATAATTTTTATTAATTTTTATTAATTTTTATTAATTTAATTTTTATTAATTTTTATTAATTTTTATTAATTTTTATTAATTTTTATTAATTTTTATTAATTTTTATTAATTTTTATTAATTTTTATTAATTTTTATTAATTTTTATTAATTTTTATTAATTTTTATTAATTTTTATTAATTTTTATTAATTTTTATTAATTTTTATTAATTTTTATTAATTTTTATTAATTTTTATTAATTTTTATTAATTTTTATTAATTTTTATTAATTTTTATTAATTTTTATTAATTTTTATTAATTTTTATTAATTTTTATTAATTTTTATTAATTTTTATTAATTTTTATTAATTTTTATTAATTTTTATTAATTTTTATTAATTTTTATTAATTTTTATTAATTTTTATTAATTTTTATTAATTTTTATTAATTTTTATTAATTTTTATTAATTTTTATTAATTTTTATTAATTTTTATTAATTTTTATTAATTTTTATTAATTTTTATTAATTTTTATTAATTTTTATTAATTTTTATTAATTTTTATTAATTTTTATTAATTTTTATTAATTTTTATTAATTTTTATTAATTTTTATTAATTTTTATTAATTTTTATCAATTTTTATTAATTTTTATTAATTTTTATTAATTTTTATTAATTTTTATTAATTTTTATTAATTTTTATTAATTTTTATTAATTTTTATTAATTTTTATTAATTTTTATTAATTTTTATTAATTTTTATTAATTTTTATTAATTTTTATTAATTTTTATTAATTTTTATTAATTTTTATTAATTTTTATTAATTTTTATTAATTTTTATTAATTTTTATTAATTTTTATTAATTTTTATTAATTTTTATTGATTTTTATTATTTTTTATTATTTTTTATTTTTTATTTTTTATTATTTTTTTATTATTTTTTATTAATTTTTATTAATTTTTGTTAATTTTTATTAATTTTTATTAATTTTTATTAATTTTTATTAATTTTTATTAATTTAATTTATTTTTATTTATTAATTATTTTTATTTTTTATTTATTTATTTTTATTTATTTATTCCTCCCCTCCTTAAAATGTGAAAATCCAAAAACCTTTAAATACGTCATTATATGAGTAGCTACAATTCCAACTTTCATGTTCCCACCTTTAAAAAATCGATACTTTCATCCCTCTTCCCCTTCTCTCTATTTTTTAACTTTCCCACTTTCCCCCTTTCCCTATTTCCCCTATTTCCCCCTTTCTCCAAACTTTCGCATTTATGTAGTAGTAGGGTTTTTATGATACTTCCCATGCCCCCCTCCTTTAAATGCGAAAATCCAAAAACCTTGAAATATGTCATTATTTACATTTATGAGTAGCTGCAATTCCAATTTTCAAGTTCCTATATTTAAAAAGGCGAAAGTCTTCACCTTACACCGTCATTTATTAGGAATTCATAGAACTAACCAATAAATACACAATATTTAGGCATTCCATACAAATGAAGGTTTGGTATGTTTAAAGGGTTGCGACATACGATGTAGTTTATCTGCATTATATGAAATCATAAATAATGGATGAAATTTAAATATTTTATGTTGAACACAATGAAAATATTATTTTTAAAGAAACCGCTTATACATTTTCTATAAATTGGCAGGCTCGGCGAGTATTATTTTAAATTAAAATAGCGTCCAAAATAGAAGGCTATGTCGCAACCCCTTTAAATTTACTAACCCTTCCCGCTGTCCGCTATTGTTTGACAGGTCTTTGGAATGCCTAATTGTCGTATAATAAACATTTAATTTGCAATAACAAATATTGAGGTCAATAATTCAGATAAAAACTATCCTATCTTTTAAATTGGACCAAATTACAGATAGTTACCAAATTTTATCAAAATCCATTCAGTAGTTTCGGAGTTTATCGCGAACATACCTACATCGTGACACGAAATTTTTATACAGTGCTTTTCACATAAAAGTATCCACCTTAAGTAACTTTTGAAAGACTGATTATTACAAAAAACAAAAAAATACGTCAATTAATATTCGAAGGGGGAGATATCGTGCATTATTTAAGTTTCCTGAAAAAGTCACCCTTTCACCCCTACTATCATCCCTTCAATTTTTTTAAATGGCTTCCCCCATTTTTTTATCCATTTTGGATTGTTCTCGTTTAACTGATTTCAAAAATGTATAAAACAATTCCTTTATATTTAACGGCCTTTAAAAATATTTTATTCTTTACTTCTGTCATTATTTAAACGGATCTTTAAAATACATTAGAGGACTATCTTAAAGAAATCTGTTTAAATAATGACAGAAGTAAATTAACGAATACGAACATATGTTTAAAGGCCGACAATATTTTTAAAGGTCGTTAAATATAAAGGAATTTTTACAGAATAGACCCCATTATACCTTAATCGTACCGCTAAAAACTTGTTGAAGTTTTTTATGATACATGGTAAAGGTATTGGAGATTTGAAAAATGAATTTAAATTACTTTTATAGTGTATTTTGATACATGTGCACATTGATTTGTTGAGGTTATTTATTTGATTTGAAAATGGTTTACAGTTTACAAGAAAGAATTGAACTTGTAGGTTTATACTACAAAAATAACAGTTCTGCACGAGCTGCTGCTAGAATTTTCAACGAAACACACCAAGGAGGTCATGCAACTCATAAGTATGTAATTGATCTTATGCATAAATTTACATCAACCGGGTCAGTTGGCAATAAAAAACATAACCGACTGGAACTCGTAAATAACGAAGCAATTGAAGTCGCAGTTTTAGGACAAGTAAGTCTTGAAAATCAACAAGCACAGTCACTGACAACAATAAGCAGAGAAGTAGGTGTTTCATCTTCCACAGTTTATCGAATATTACACAAACATAAGTACCATCATCCATACAAAATTAAATTGGTTCAAGAGTTGTATGAAGATGATTTTGATCGTCGTCTTGAATTTTGTGAACTTTTGAGTCAGCGCTTGACTGACAATCCACATTTGTTGCACAACCTTTGTTTTTCGGGTGAATGCACATTTTCAGTTAATGGTTTAGTTAATAGACATAATTGCAGATATTGGGCTGAGAGTGATCCACATGTTGTGCGTGAATACCACACACAGAATCCTCAAAAGTTAAATGTATGGTGTGGTATCCTAGGTGACCACATAGTCGGACCTTTCTTTTTAGACGGAAACTTAAATGGAGAGTCATATCTTGAGTTATTGAGAGAAGTAATTGATCCACGTATTACAACAATAATAGAAAATGATCATAATCTTTCTGAAGATTTGCTTGTCTTTCAACAGGATGGAGCGCCTCCACATTTTGCTTTGCCAGTATGACAATTTTTAAATGAAACTTTCCCCAATCGTTGGATAGGTAGAAGAGGCTCGATGATGGAGTGGCCACCTAGATCACCGGATTTATCACCTCTAGACTTCTTTTTATGGGGTTATTTAAAAACAAAAATTTATGCTACCCAACCAGAATCTTTAGAAGATTTACGACAAAGAATAGAGTATGAATGCCTACATTTAAATGCACACGTGTTCGGTAATGTCAGGGAGGCTTTTCAATCTAGGTTATACCATTGTATGGAAGTAAATGGTGGACATTTTGAACAATATAATAAATTTTGAAAATGAAATATTCGTTTTGTCATTGGAAACGCTTGTGACAAAATCATTAAAATAAAAGTTTTGCACAATTCAATTTTATTTTAATTTAAAATTCTGTAGATCGTAAACTAATTACTTTAATCCCCATGTTTTATACATTTTTGAAATCAGTTAAACGAGAGCAATCCAAAAATAAATAAAAAAATAGGGCAAGCCATTTAAAAAAATTAAAGGGATGATAGTAGGAGTGAAAGGGTGACTTTTTTAGCAAACGGCACGATATCTCCCCCTTCGAATATTAATTGACGTATTTTTTTGTTTTTTGTAATAATCAGTCCTTCAAAAGTTACTTAAGGTGGATACTTTTATCTGAAAAGCACTGTATATATAGATTAGTTCCTATATCTCTAAAATACACACAATTAATAAAACATATACGTTTAGAAGAATAAAATTCCACATTAAACTTGGTTCTCTACTTGAAAGGTACCTTTACAGTTTTCTAACTTAATAAACATGAGAGATAGAGAAAAATATGGCTGTGAATTTTCTAAAGTCGTTCGACTTAGGGGCAATGAGCTTGAATAATAGTATTATATCTACATGCATAGAGGGTACCAACAAGTGTCCCTTTCTATATTACGCAGATTTGTATCACGAGACGATGACGTGCTGTGGTGCAAATGCGTGGTTTTTAATCAGTTTTAAGTTTGTATACATTGGTATTTGACACGTTATATCACAATCTCTGCAAATTTGTGAATGTTAGCACAAAACCTGTCTCGTGTGTACTACTGTTTCAAGTTTTTAACGGTTCATAGTTTTATGTATCATTTCTCTACTGTACTTAACTGAATTAAACAGTTTCTGTTATTAAACTCAAATTATCTGTAACTTCAATACGATTCACTTTACACCTTAAATTTTTTGAATTAAATATTAGGAGAGAATATAGAAGTGCAATGATATATAGGGTGTTCGAATAAAAAACATGGGGTGGCCCCATGGCCCTCTATCCCCATGGATAGAGGGTGAACGTTACGAGTATACATGAGCAAAAAATACGTTCGCTAATATGATTTTTGACTTATGTCGGGGATAGGTGCTTTCCCCGTACATTTTTTAAC